TATCAATTAGTATAATTTATTTACTTGTGAACATATGTATAATTGAAGGATAATATTAATTTAAATGGTGACATTATTTTAAATTTTTTCTGTTTACTGGAGACGTGATAAATTTATTACAAACACTTACATAAAACCTCATAATATATTATTTCTTCCAGTTACATCTTCTCCTTACCAGAAGATATAATTTCTTTTTGGGCCAAAGCAGAAGATATAATTTAAAACCAATATTTTCATGTTATATGTACGCATGATTAATTTAAGTATAATACAAACTTACGAGGTATAGTCAATTTTTTTTTTTTTACAAACGTTTATATACTGTTCTTCATGTTATTACTTAGAATTTCCAGGAAGTGACGATATGTCCATCAAAATTCCATGACTATTGTGTGTTGAACAATGATTCTGTCGTATTGTGAACTAACAAAAAACTTTTCTCTCGCCCATTCAAAGAGTCTTGCAAAAAATTATATGAATCAATACTAGCAAAAAAGTTTATATACAGAACAAAAAGTATGTGCATTTGGAAACTAAAAGAGAGATAGGATTTGGAATAATCCTTACTCACTCATATACAAACCAAAAGAAAAATAAAACTGATGAAGACTTGCGAAAAGTGATGAAGACTTTAAAATGGACAGACAGGAATCATCGCAGAAGCGATAAAATATATATATATATATATATATTATTTAGAGTAAACATCACGGCAAGGAATCCAACAAAGACGTTAGAGAAGATTGAAAGACAAATATAAAACTTCATGCCATCCACAATTTTTTCCTCTGAAAATGACAAAGGTTATGCAAAAGTATGTGCTTGTGCTTCTAATTATCTTAACTGCAGCATGTTGGCCAAAAAAAAAAATTTCAAACATGCAAGTAAAACAGAAGTTAATGAATGAGGAATTTAATACATAATGGCTGCTAATATAGTTTACGTTAATTTTTACTAATTTTAATTTAAATATTGTGATATTTAAGTTAAAAGTTTTAACATAAAAATTAGTTAGTTAAAATTATTTTATAATGTTCACTAATATATTATTACCAATTTAAAAAATTAGATTAAAGTTAAGGTTGTGAAAAAAGTTGAACGTTTTTGTAATTTTAGTGAAAGTAAAGGAGTTTCAATGTGTTTTACTAAAAATAATTAGTATTGACGTACAGTCAGACATTATTTGATAACAAATAGAAAATAAGACTTATAAAATGGGCAAGACTTTAAAATGGACATGATTTGATATATAAATTTTTATTTTAATTTATCGAAGTAGAAATTTCCATGATTCATGTGGTGTATTGATCAATTAGTATTACCTTACAGCAATTTGGAAAAGAAAATTTCTATTTAATTTGTTTGAGATTAAAAAATGTCCTATATATATTGAATATTAATTTGTTTTTAGTTATTACAGCTATCTCTCACATAACAAAATAAGCATTTACAAGATATTATGTTTGGCCAAAGGAAAAAAAGAAAAACAAGAAATTAAATATGTAAAAAATATTTTTCTTATGACATCTAAAAATGCTTTTAATTTAAATAATAATAATAATAATTATTATTATTATTATTATTATATTTTAGTTTTAAAGGAAAAAATATATATTTTTATTTTATTTGTGGAGAAAATATTGTAAGATGATTAAACTTTTTTTTTAACGTGAGAATGTTTTGTTGAAAGGATCTTTGAAAATTAAGAGAGGATCGATGAACCAAGAAACGTCCATCAAATTCGTGTAGTTCACTGTGTCTTTTTAGAAAATGATGATGTTACTTGTCCTGTTTTGTTCAATGGTATGTGAAAAAAGTTAATTTTCCAACTACATTTCTACATTCCAGAATTTATAATCCTTTAACATCATAAAATATAAATATTTTAAAGTTAATTTATTTTATGAAAATTTAAATAACTATTCTGTAGCAAATCCACGTTAAATGTTCAAACTTTTTAATGTAAAAAAAAAAATCAAAACCCTTTCAGTTATTTGGCTTCTTTTTTTTTTTGATATATTTATTTGGATCGTTACAAATTGGAAGAATGACATTTAAGGCTCTCTTAAGGAAATTTATCACAATAAAGGCTGATCAATTTTGCATTAGATATTATCTTGTGAAAATAAATATTTGTTGTTAAAAACTTAACCTTGAGTTGTATTTTTTGTTAGAGTTTCCTTAAAAATTTAATAAGTTGAGGTTCAGGTTAACAACAACATATGTTTTCACAAGATAATATTTTATGCAAAATTGATGTGCATTTATTGTGATAAATTCCCTTGTAAGGACCTTAAATGTCATTCTCCCAATCTTCTAACCCAAGCAAAATCAAATTGGAATCAATTTGTTAATTTTTAACCATCTTTGCAGCTATTAATGATATTAGATAGGTTTGATTACATTAGAGAGCCAGGTATTAATGACTTTAGGTTATAAGCAAGATTTGAATCCACAACCTCCTACTTATAGGATGCTTATATGTCATTAGACAATAAATGATTATGTTTATAGTAAGTCATAAATCATCAATTTTAGCAAGTCTTACAATAAAATGACTGCTCTTGTATATTCTTTGATTGTCTCTGAAGAGTACTAAGGAATTTCTCTTAAAGATCAGTGTTGTTTGCATTGGCCCCCTCAGGAATACTATCCATTGCTTCAGAAGGCGGCACTGTGAAAATGCAGGAACTTTTAGGCTACAGGAGCATGAAGACATTGATTCATTTTAGAATCAATAAGAAAAAAAAAAGAGGAGGACTGCAAATTCAAATAATTGGAAAACTATTGCAATAAATAAATAAATAATTTATATTTCAAAATAAAGTCAATGCTTGTAAATTTGATGGCATAAAATAGAAGTTTCATAAATTTGATGAAAACTTTAAAATGGAAAGAAGAGACCATGAATTATCGCAGCAATGATAAACAAAAAATATATATATATATATATATTTCATTTTGAGTAAACATTACGGTAAGGAATCTAACAAAGACGCTAGGGAAGATTGAAAGACAAAAATGAAACTTCGTGCCATCCACAATTTTTTTCCCTGAAAATGAAAAAGGATATGCAAAAACATGTGCTTGTGCTTCTAATTATCTTAAACTGCTGCATGCTGGCTAAAAAAATATATTTCAAATATGCAAGTGAAACAGAAGTTAATGAATAAGGAATTTAACATAATGGCTGTTAATATAGTTTACGTTAATTTTTACTAATTTTAATTTAAATGGATCTTAATATACTTAAGTTAAAACTTTTAACATAAAAATTAATTAATTAAAAACATTTTATAATTTACACTAAAATATTATCAATTAAAATGTAAAAAATTAGACTAAAGTTAAGGTTATGAAAAAAAAGCTGAAGGTCTTTTTAATTTTAGTAACAATAAAGGAATTTCGATGTGTTTTACTAAAAAAATTGATATTGACAGTCACATATTATTTGATGACAAATGGAAAAGAAAACTTATAAAATGGGCAAGACTTTAACATGGACATGATTTGAGATATAAATTTTTATTTTAATTTATTTAAAGTAACATTACCGTAAGGAATCTTTTGCTTTTCTTGTGTGGAAAAAAATTGCTCATAAATTGAAAAGGCAATAGGCAATAGGCAAGAGAGGGATGGAGTGGAAAATTCCGTGATCCATATGGTGTCTTGATCAATTAGTACTATACATGAATTTGATAGAAGTTTCTTTAGAAAATCCACGTTAAATGTTCAAATTTTTTAAATGTAACAAAAAAAATTAAAATAAAACCCTTTCAATTATTTGGCTCTTTTTTGGATAAATTTATTTGGATAATTTTAAATTCTACCAATTTTCTGAGCAAACCAAAATCAAGTTCGAATCATCAATTTGTTAATTTTTAACCATCAAGCAGCTATTAACGTATTATGTAAAGAAAATTACATATGTACACTTGAAGCATAATATTAATTTAAATCGTGACATTATTTTAATTTTTGTCTGTTTATTTAGGACGTGATAATTTTATTACTCAAACACTTGCACAAAGCCTCACAATATATTATTTCTTCCACTTACATCTTGTCCTTACAAGAAGATATAATTTAAAACCCAATACCTTCATATGTATGTATGATTAATTCAAGTATAATACAAACTTACGAGGTATAACTAATTTTTTTTACAAACATGTATATAATTTGCTTCATGTTATTACTTAGCATTTCCAGGAAATGACCATATGTGCATCAAAATTTCATGACTCTTGTGTCTTGAACAATGATTCTGTCATATTGTGATCCAAAGAAAAACTTTTCTCTTGCCCATTCAAAAAGTCTTAATATCTAGTTGAATATGTGAGAGAGTGTAAGACCCGTCAAAATATTTAGTTGGGTATTTTTTTTTTTTTGGAAGTTATCATAGTTATCACCTCCATATAAGAAAAATTAAAACAAGTTTTTAAAAACAAGTAATTTGATACTAGTTCGGATTCGGATGGTAAGAAAAAAAGAATACACGGTTTGAATCCCCTAATGTAATAAAAAAAGTGTTTACAAATTTGAAAAATATGTATGTCAAAATATATGTTCAGTGATGTTTACGTATTCTATTAATTTAAATTAATATTACTATTTCACAGTAAGCAGATTTATTAAGTATGTAGAATATAACTGGCCTCAAAATATGTTTTTTCTTGTGTCTTCTACTTTTTCGTAAGATACGAAATTCATCCAAGTAGATTCCTCTGGTAGCATACCGTCATTTTTATACTGTGATTTATGTACCTAAAGCAGGGGCCGTAATGATACTTGGAAGGTTTTGAAGAAATATATCTCCCTCAATCACCTCTGCACAAAACCAAAAGAAAATAATACAGCAGCTATACATATAAAGTCAAAACTGTAAACATTAATACTTAAGAGAGCCAAAGAATTATTTGTAAAAGAAAAGGGAAAAGGAATATCAACTTAAGCAATGACCAAAATAATATGCACTAATTAAGTCGCAACAGCAACACAAATTAAGCAATGGCCAAAATAAAGTAAAACAAAAACAAAAATGATATGCACTGATTGAATCACAATAGTGACACAAATTTATCCAAGCTGTACCAGTCACCAGATGCTAGCCTTAACATCAATAATCAGAAACCTTTTGGTTGCACAAGCTAAACAACACCCCCACTTCTTACACTAACCAAATAAGAAACCCTCCTAGAACAAATTGACTCACGAAACTCTCGCCTCTTCAACATGCATAACAAAAGCCTTTTTTTTCAACTTGTCTTAACCAATGGAGAAAAGATCCAATCATTAATTATGCAGAAACATTGAGAACTAATTATCAAATCAATAGTCAATGTTTGTCATTTTCACTCCCAATAGCCAACATGAGACTATGAATCCAAAAGAGGCAAAACAAACTTCAACAATCCCCTTGCAAAACACAATCCTATGGATTCTCAATCCCCCCAGTCAGCTGCAATAAACCCATACCACAATCCAATGGGCATATAAATTTAATGAAGTAGCATCAACCTATAAGATGACGTCAATCTCAATCTAATCATCTATGAAACTTATAATCATCACAGGCAAAGAGGTCTTCTTCTAAATATTAGAAAAAATAATACTAGTCTGTCCCTTCCTCCCTGTTATCTTTTATAGTCTGATAATAATATTCTAGTAAGAAAGATAAAACGAAAAGAAGGCGGAAAAAACATATTAAAGTAATGGAATATGCTTAATAAAAAGAACATAAAAAAAAAATAAATTGCTTATAGAGGCATCACATAAATTATGGATATGAAAAATATGAATCACGACATGTGAAGTGCCAACAGAAAAACTGCGAAAATTACCAGTACAATACAACATTCTATATCGAGAAGAGGTGAGCTTTACTATGAAAAGAAAGAAATTCATATATGCTATCCCTCATATCCACAACCACTCCTTTAGAAACACGAAATATTCCAGCATTTCAAATGCCACAACAGTGACATCAAGCAAATACACAATTTTGCCCACGCCTCTTCATATAGAAATGAGTAAACTGGGGGTTAAATTGTCACTATCTCCTATTATAATACTTCTAATATCAATATAGTTCCATTGGTATGTTATCTTTAACCTTGATTTTGAGCAACAGGCATGGACGATGCTGTGACAACTGCTGCTTGGACAGATGATTAAGTAGAAGCATTGGCCATCCAACCAACTATATAATTAGAAGAAGTTAAAGCAGGTGGAAAGGACTACAGCAAATAAAATAGAAGAAGCTACAGTAGGTGGGTAGGACTACAGCAAATAAATAAGGACCAAATATTAATCTGGATTCGGCTGATTACTATTACTCCTATAGAGATGTAAACTAATGTTCAAGTTTTGTAAGATCACAAACCATGATCACCAAGTGATGAATAAACAGTAGGCTTTGCAACTGCATCAACTGGAAGATTGACAGGTGTAGGTGTGAGAGGACCATTAGGAGGTGAACATGCGTGATATTGTAAATAAAGTCTTGAAATCTGGGTTTGGCCTTCTTTTGCAAAGCTGATGCTGCCAACTCAAACTTCATTCATTGATAAGGGGAAAAAAGGGATTGAGAAAAGAAATTGAAAGTCATAACAAACTAGACTACTAAAACAATATACAAGAATACAAGAACTAAATAATATAGGCAATGACTGAATCATTATAATAGGAATAAACCTTAAGCAAAATGCTAAAATACTATAGCTGTATATGTCAATAAAATACTTTGTGATGCAGAAGAGATTAATAATCAAAAGCTCTCATTTTCTTGTTAATCCAATAACCAAAGCATCACTACCTTTGATTGATTAACGTCCTCAATCTCAATGATTTAAGAGTAGGAAACAGAAGCTTATCACGAAATAGAGGATTTGCTTCTATCAAATTTTTCAGCTGTATCTGCATAATGCTTCGAGCTAATTTAGTGTCACCATTCTTGGCCAGATTATCATTCTCCCTGGTATTTTAAAACAAATGCAAACTACTCCATTTTCTTCCAGACATTGGCATCCATGATACTCTGAGTAAATATTACTTCAAATAAAGGGTGAAAGTTCAACTACCCCTCTATATTTCTTTTCACCTATTCAGAAAGTCTGTATTGTTTCAAACAGCAAAGATTCATTCTGCAAATGTGCCACTACTACTTGCATAAGATTTCTTACCACCATATTTCTGCAAAAGATTAAAAGAAATGAAGTTTTATCTTGACCACAGGATATAAAGGAAGAAAAGCTTGCTTGTGCTAGACTTTATGTTATAACAAATAAGATGATACGGGACATCAGCACAACGAAAGAGCTGCAAAAGAATTTTAAGCATGGGGAACTGAACTTGCTTTCCAAGGTTGGTAACTGAACCTGTTTTCCAAGGTTGAACTGGATGTATTTATGCTTGATCATGTGTGCAATTTGACGCCTCATTGTGAGGGCAAAGAGGACAACCCATAACAGAGCAATATAGGCTAAAAGACGGGGACATCAAAAATGGAAAAGAAGATAATGACAAATGCTATGCAGAAAGCCTTTGTGATGGAATACCTGTAACCAAAATAAAAAATTGTCATCCATCTGCAAGGTTTCCACCAACCTATTTTCCATAAGAAATAGGCAATAAATTTAGTGATTCAATCCCCACAATCACATTATCTATTCTCTATTTTACCAAATAGAAAGGATACACATGAATATATACAATCAATCGCCATCTAAAATAAAAATAAATAAATAAATAGGAGTGATAAATGAGAAACACCGTATAAAAAAAAAAAACTTGTATAGAAAGAGGAATGAATAAATTACCGGAGTTATGAAGCGTGATGCAAACAAAGCATCCAACCCTTTTTCTCTCCTCAAAGTCCTCGAGCATGGATCCTTAACAAATACCTACATGAAATTTCTGCATAACAAAAAAGAGGGGAAGAGCGAGAAAAGGGAAGAACTAACTGAAAGGCTTAGAACGAAAGCACCACAGCAGAGATTGCGGAGTTGGGTTTCGATCTTGTTAAGGAAGGAGGATGCTTCAACAAAAGGCCGGGCAAGAATAGATTTATCATTATCTTTAATAATTGTAATATAGTGGTCGTAGAGAAGAAACCAAAATCACAGAGACGATGATAATAAAAGTAGGTTTTTCATCCTATATAACTTATAAAGAGTTCAAATTTATGCTTTCACCTTCCGTCAATGATTGCAGGGATCCTGACCTTCATTTCTCATTGGTTAATTTGCACCTCTATTGATTCTGTTATTCGAAGAAAAACAACATCAACAAAATCAAGAGATGATTTGTTCTCTCACTATCAGGAACTGCAGCGAAACTCCTCCACCCTCACCGCTCATCTCTCCACCGTCGTTAACAGAATAAGAATCGAAAGAAATGAAGAACAAAGGGAATGGTTTGTGAAATGGAACAATTGCGCCAAGGGACCACGAAAAAGGGGGAAATGAAGTACCATGAGAAACAACATCAGACAAGGCCACAAAAGGAGAAGATCGAAGGGAAACTCAAGGGATGATGAGTACGCAAGCACGTTAATTTGTACGGTCAATCTATAAAAATATAAAAAATTAATATTAAATTTAAACTCATCCACTAAAATATGTATGATATATGTTAATAATAAAATATATTTATTTAAAATTTTATAAATTTTTATTTTAAAAATAAAAAAGTTAAAAAAATAATTAAATTTAAATTGTCTAGATTAAATTCTTTCAGACATGATGAGCATGCGCGTCACCCTCGATAAGTATTGAATGAGCTCCGAAAGTTCAAATCAGTTCGGATCCTAAGAGCATCTCATGCTCATCAGCTAAAACGTGATCTGAGCGCTTCATTTTTCACTCTAAATGATCTTTATCATTAATTTTAAATTATTTTAAATATTTTTAATATCATATTTATTAAAATAAAAATATATAAAAATTATCAAAAAATTAATATTAATTAAATTTAGATTGTGTATATTTAAATAATCAATTTGTAAAGATTATAAAAAATTTTAATATTAAATTAGACCTTTTAAATTATATATATACAATACAGAATATATTTAAATAGTTAATAGTTAATTTATAAAAATTATTAAAATAATATTAAATTGGGTTATTTGTACTAACCAAATTAATTCTAATAAGTAGTTTTATTAAAAAAATTTATATTTTTTTACATATTTTTATTTGAAGAGAAAATGAATGGCCACATCATATTTTTATTCCTGACGAGTAGAGTGAGGATCCGAATCAGTTAATGCTTCCGCCTTCCGTGAAAATTGATGATTACGTTTGAAATTTGAAATTTGAGGAGACTGCACACAATATACAAACTGGAGGTGTTTTTGGAATCAGCCAATGACATTGGGATATTTACATGAGACCTTAAGTCCTTTGTCCAATCAGGTTGTAGATTTTTTTTGGCCAAACTGGATTCATCTACGCGATTAGTAGATGATAGTTGATGATTACATCATATAAGACCAAATAAAATTGGTTAGGTCCCCGGCCACTTTTTAAATTAATTCATGCGACGTATCGTGTTTTAGCCATCAACATTCCCATTTACTACTTCTTTGAACAAATTAACATCCATCATTGAAACCTTGATAACAAATTTATTATAAATGTTGCCAATAAATTATAGAAAAATTGATAATAAAATTCCTTTAAATTATATAAATGATAATTTAGTTTTTTGAAATGCTATAATTTCAATAAAGTTTCTATAACTCAATAAATTTTAAAGTGAAAAAATTATTTTATCCTTATTAATAAGTTGTTATTTTTCCTAAATTATATGACACTTTTTGGGCATATTTTTATGAAATTTAAGAAATGTAAAGTGTTCATAAATGTAACTACTCCCTCTGGTCTTATTTATGGGGCAGAAAGAGAAAAAATTTTTTATCCGATTTATAAGTTACATCACTAAATTTTCATTACAAATTTTTTTTACCCTCCATTGAATATTAGAGAGAGAAGATTCTTATTAAAATATATATATTTAATAGGGAAAAATCTAAAAACTTATTAAATTTTAAGATAGAATTAATGAGTTTTAAGGTTTTCTTTGATACTGATGAAACATGTTGAAAGTGATTTATAAATAGGACTAGAGGAGTATATATCAACAGTTACGACAAATAATTTATTTATAATAAAAATAATAATAAGGGTAAATTACTCTATAACTCTATATTTTCTCCCATGATCATATTTATAAATTATAAGGTAAAGAGAGAAAAATATTTTTTATCCTAATTATAAAACATGTAATTTGTAATGACCTTAAATTTTAAATTAAATAAAAAAAATTTCAATAGATATTTTATTTAAATAAATTTTATAGCAAGCAAAGATTGGTAGTTTATAGGAATTTAGGCAAGAAATGTTATTGAGGATTCAAAGTTCAAATTTTTCTAAGCAAAAAAATTTGGTTTTAAATTATAAAAAAATTTGTGCTCTTTTTAATAATATTTTGTGCTTTTTTTTTTGTAATTTTTCATACTCTTTCTTGTAATTTTTTTTAAAAATTCTTGAATCAGATTTTTTGAAAGGAAAACAGAGCATTCTTATCGTGTTTTTATCCTCACCACCATTCGAATTTCATAGAACCGGCTAGAAATAGAATTGTTGTCTCTGTACCCATTCCTCAGCTCTTCCTCTTTTCTTGATCATGTTGTTTCTCTGAGCCTCATCATCTAAAATTTCGTGGCCACCTAACAGCGACGTGAGCACTCCGTTCTCCTCTGCAGCAGCTTGGCAAACCTCCTCTCTCCTCTGTTTGACGTGCTCGACGACTTGGAGGAGGCTAGGATTTTTCCTCCTCTTATTCGTGTCTGCATAGGAGAATAGTTGAGATCCTCTAATGTCACCAACAGCGTCACTCGGCGTTGCACCTCCGTTCGCACCTGTGTTGGCCATCTTTGCTCTGTCTCTTTCTTTCTTTGGTGCGGCACGGTGTGCGTGGGTTCTGAATGTTAGTTCTCTTCCTTCTTTATACTTGCTGTGGTTGGGTTGCATAGGACAGCCTTCTTCCTCCTCCAAGTCCGATCTGCAATTTCTTCTCCTCCCTATTTCCGACGTTGCTAATTGAAGCTGCTGTCGCGTGAGTTTGGTGATGGCTGATGCATTCAGCATTCATCCATTCTTCCTCCTTAGTTGTTGGTGTTGCATGTGTGCATGAGGTAAGCACGATCCCTTTCTTCTTTTGGCCGATGAGTGTTGTATTTTTCTTTCTTTGAGCTGCCGTGATTGTTGAAGGAGGGAGTTGAAGTCTTCTTTTAATTGCTTTAGCTGTTATTGTGAGAAGGGGAAAATTTAATTTCTTAGTCGTCTGAGGGAAGAACTTGTTGAACGAGTATATACATGTTAGAATTTTTTTTTCTTAGTTGAAGTTGTTAATTTTAGTTGCTACCCAGTATGATTCAAGAGTTGATTGGGATTTAATTTGAGGTGCTTTGTATCTTTGATGATGCTAGAGTTATGTTAGAAGTTGATTAAATTGTTGAATGCTTAGTATGAGCTAAATTTTAATGCACTCATGATATTTGTAAATTGCTTGAAAGAATGTTAAATTGGCATAATATAGTTTGAAGGATTATATGTATGGTGACTTGGATTATTGCTTGAGATTATAAATGTTACTTGATGAAATATATGCCTTTACATATAAGTTGTAAATTTGAACTATTTATTGAGGGAAATCTCGGGAAACTAATTAATGGAGGATAAGGATGGTCTGTGAAATCAGAGAATGGGTTCGAGAGTCGGTTGAGTATGAGAAAGGTGTTAGGCACTCCACAACACCCGTTCGTCAGAACGGTTACTTGAAGTTTGTTGTGCTCTATTAATATGGTTTTATAATTATTTTAAGTATCCCTTTTATATTTATGTGTTTGATAAAAATGATAAGAATTAGGTGAGAAATGTTTATTTATTTACGAGGGAGGACGGACTTGACTCAGAATTTGACTCTGAGGCCTACGTACCCTGTGATGGGGATCAAAGTCCACGTAGTTCGGGCTTAAAAATTTGTTAGTGAAAATATTTTTGAATAGAAATTAATTAGAAATAATTCACCATTTTGCAAATAAAACAATTTCTGAAATTTTGATATGTGTGTTTTAAATTGCAAAAGGTAATTTAATTTTAATTATTTTCTCCATTTTTGAATTTTTGGAATAAAGAAAGAAAAGGGTTTAAAATCATTATTTTTTTTTATGTTTTATGATTGAGAATTTAAATTTCTATACCTGCAGAGCCTTATTAGTTCATACAATAATGCAATTATTCTAAGTATCTGCGAAGGTTCCAAAACCTCACACGATAAAAGAATTTACCAATTTAATTTATTTATTTTTAAGTTTTAATAATAGTTTGCTTAAATATGTATATATGTTTTTAAAGAATTTTAATCATCATACCTATATAGCCTTATTGGCTTATACGGTAACATGATTTATCCTAAATATCTACAAAGATTCTAAAATCTCACACGATAAAGGAATTAAATTTAATTAATTGATTTAATTAATTATATAATATATATATGTATATATATATTTTAAAAACTAAATTGTTATATCTGCAGAGTCTTATTGACTCATACGATAATACAATGATCTTAGAAGCCTACGGAGATTCAAAAATCTCACATGACTAAAAGATATAATCGGTAAATATGGTTACAATTTAAATACATTTAATTTGGTTAATTAATCTTCTAAATTGGGTATTATATGATTGTTTACAAAAATCATTTATTTATTATAACAATTAAAAATCACTATATCTGTGAGGACTTATTGTCCCACACGATAATGTGATTAATTTAAGTCCTTATGAAAATTCTTGAAGTCTCACATGGGACTTAAATAAATTACTTAGATTAAAAAAAATAGTTGATTTTAACTATGGGTCATTAAAACTATTGATTATACATATAAATTGGATCTCTATTCCTGCAAAATCTTATTGATTTACACGAAATGAGACCACCTTAAATGTCTACGAAAATTCTTAAAATCTCACACGACAAGTAAATGATTAGAGATGAAATTTTCTCTTATTCATTTCATTTTTTTAAAATTGGGTAAGAATTGAATTCTCTCCCCTCTGCCTTTTATAAAATAGGCTTTTCATAATAAATGAAATCGTACATGTAATCGTGATAATTACACTAATAAATATTATTGACAAGTAAAGGACCTTAGGACTAATGGAGATAAAGAAATAATGCTCATACATGTTAATATACACATTTAAAGACCTTGCTTAATAATTACACTAATTCTCTATTTGAAATGAGATTGTGCCTAAAATCAAATTTAGCTTAGCTATGATAGGAAGCAAAAATTATTATTTGCAATTTCTTTATATTTTTTTTCACACTCTCGTTTTTTTAAAAAAAATATGACAATTGCAATGAAATCATTTGGGAACTGAAAAATATGGGACAAAACATTTAAACATGAAATCCATTTTGGAATAGTAAACAGAAATTAAACACGTGTATTTTGGATTCAGAAGCAAGAACCTGTGTATATGGGATGTCCAGATCTGTCTCACTACTCCTGTCACTCCTCCCTCTCTGATCTCGATCTCTTCTTCCTCTTCTTTGTTTTCTTTGTTTTCAGAAAATTCTCCTTCACGTCTCACTCTCCTCTTTCTCCTCTCCGTCTCTGTTTCTTCTTTCTCCTCTCCGTCTCCTTTCTTCTTTTCCTTTCAGAAAACTCTCTGGTGTTGGTTTCTCGACTGACTCCGTTTCTCCTCCCTTCGTCTCTGTTTCTTTCTCTCTCAACCTCTCTCTTCTCCTTCGGTTCTTTCGTGCTCTGTTTTCTGTTTCTTCTGTGTGTATGTTTCTCCTTCCTTTTCTCCAGCCAAAAAAACCGCCCCCTCTTTGTTTCACGTTCGATCTTATATAGGGGATGGAAGAGGTGAATCATTACTCTCCTGCTCCGCTTCTTCCTTGCTGCTGCGTCTTTTGTGTGCACCGAAGTCTCTGCTCTATTTTTCTGCGTTTCTATCTCTATTTTCCTGTGCCATCCCATCTGCTTTCTCTGCTGTGCTGTTTCCTTCATGCATGCGTGCGTCCTTGGTTCTGTTTCTTTTCTCCTGCCAGTCGAAAGCATATGCGTACATGTTCTAGTTGCTTGCTGTTCTTTTTGCTCTGTTTTGCTTCTTCTGCGTTTCGTGTCTGCTGTCTCTAGCTCTTTCAGCATCTGCAGCTCATGTGTTCGTGTGTTCTGCTGTTTTCTCCTTTTTCCTGTTGCATGGCCGAAAGTGTGTGCTTGTTGTTGTTTCTGCATCTCTGTGCCTGCGTTTGGTCTCTCACCTTTACTATTTCTGTGTTTCTGCATCTCTGTTTCTGTTACAAAGCCAAAAGAGCTGTGTGTGCGTACGGCAATCCATTTCTTCCTCATTTCCTCTCTCTAGCCTATGCACCATGTACGTTCTGCTCTCCCCTCTCTTTTTTTGTTTATTAACTTCAAGAATTAGATTAAAAGGGAAGAGAAAAAAAAGAAAGAAGAGAGAAAAAAATAAATTAATTTTGAGTTAAACTAAAATACTTCTCTCTTTTTTTGGAAAACAACAAGATTAAAGAGAAAAAAAGGATAGCGAAAATTAACTCTCAAAAGTTGATTCTCGAATATTTTTAAATGATTGAGATAATTTTAAAAGATTTAAACAATATTTTTTTTATTTTTTGAAAATATAATATAATTCTAAAAAGGGTTAAATTTCATTTTTGTATTTTTATATTTTTTTAATTATTTATTATTAAATTAAAAAATGCCCGGGCAGAATACGGTGTTCACAGTACTCACACTTGTTTTTATGAGCTTTGTGCCTGTGCTTGTTTCGTAACTCCTGCCGCGCTTGTTTCGTGACTTTCAGCCGCCCTTGATTGGTTACTTACCCTTGTGGACTGTGTGTTCACATTTGATTAGTTGCCCTCGTGGATTGTCCACGCTTCCACGCTTGTTATTCGTTCTGATAAAGCCCTCCTAAATCTAAACTTAAAATTTATTATTTTACATTTTCTCTTTAAAAACATTCTACGTAGTAATACAGTTGCTTGAAACCTTTATATTCTATGAACAGTATAAATTTTGATAAATTATTTGTTTCTATTAACATTGTTCAAATTCATGATTATATCATTGAGAAAATTTGTTGTTTATTATTATTAATTTAAATTCATATTTCATTTTTTTTCAAAATTTTAAATGAAATTTAGTCATTAATATCTTCATATATATATGCGCGCACGCGCGCGCGCGCACACACACACATTTAATTGGAACGCTACTTACCGGTAATTTCTTTTGTCTCAGATAATGTAGCTGACGCTACTCCTCCAGCAGGTCATTGAGGGGTCCTTTTGTTTTTGGAAAAGAGGAAGCTTATAACTTAATGCTCCATGTGCACCATAGTTAGGTCTTAGTCTTATTTTATATCATGTAAACTAATCTCCTCACTGGTTTTATTGACAGAATTTGTTGTTGTAAAATTTTTGAGAGGTCTAAATCATAGGGGAGATTTTGTTAAAATTTTCACAAAATATTTAAAATTATATGAACTTTATTATTATATATAACTTATATATTGATAACTTAGCTTAACCTTTAGTTAATTAAGGCTTATGAAATATGAGTTCATCTCATATTTCATGCCGGTCATACTCATAACACCAGGGTGTGACATAATTGATTGTTTAATACAAGTTTCCCTTCCCACCCCAAAATAAATGTTGGTGTAGTTTATTGAAATATTGGATTTTATTTAAAGTATGTATATTTAATAAGAAAAAAGTTAAAAGCTTATTAAATTTTTAGACAAAATTAATAAATTTTAAATTTTTTTATTTTAAAAATACATGAAAATTGATTTATAAATAAAATAAAAAAGAATATAAAGTCACTGTATAAATAATGTGAAGTTGTTGAACAAATTTAAGGAAAAACTGCAACAACAAAAAAAACTGGTAAAAAAGAAAAAGAAAAAGTTGCAAAAAAAAGACGAGACAAAAAGAGGTCACAACATTGCGCAGATGTGAAAATGAGAGTGTCGCACCCTTTTCGCATGCTAGGCATGCTAGAGCCTTAGAGGAGTGAATCCTCAATGTTACAGTCAGCCATTCACAAGTTTCCATAATCCTTTGTCACAATGTTCTAGGAGCACCTAAGCTAGATAAGTTCTTAGTGTAGAGAGGGTCGGATCTAGAGCTTGGTAATTGTGGGGCCAAGCTGAAAATAAAATGAAGATTGAAGAATGGTGGGGAATCAAATTTAAACTAATTTACAAATAAAAAAAAGTAATTTTCATCAAAAGGCCAATTATGTATGGGGGGCAAGAACCCCTCCTTGTCCCCTCATAAGTCCATCATTGATTGTAAAGTTGTGTGAAGGGAAGCAGGGTTGTGTGAAGGAGTTTTGAGATCTAAGGTGAAATTATCTACAAAGCTTAATGTATTATTATTTATTTATATTCATATCACTTGTCTAGCTTTTTGAACAACAAAATAAAATATTAAATTTTTATAATAAAGTAATTCTAACATTTTACTTTTAATAAATAATATAGCTAATCTATTTAATATATTTTGTGACATGGTTGATCTTAAAATAAAATTTAAGTAATTTTAATTTTGAAAAAGCTTTTTTCAACACTAGTAACTATTACTATGATTGTCAATAATATTCTATAAGCAATAAAAAATGACTAATTATATAAAATATATAATTAATATTATTGTTCAATGAGAAAAATAATAACTAATTATATAGAGTATAAGTAAACTTTGTTTTTAGGCTTAAAGTGACCACCTTATTGGTCTAACATAAGCCACGACCCTGAAGGGAAGTAACTTGTGTTGAATGAAAAAGGGATAAGTATAGTACGAAGAAGCACGGTGGTTCTGGTGACTAGAGTCTAGAGGCAAAGTAACAAGCATAAATGGCCTAAATCAGGAAGGGTCGCATTTAGGCCAAACGATTACCGCCATGCGTGATGCTTCATTGGGGAGAGAGATGGGTTGCGTGCTTCTAAATTGACTGCCTGTTCGGCCAAAAAAAAAAAAATTGACCGCTTGCTTCTAGCCACGTGTCATTGTCTAGTATATCTTGTGCTCAGAGTGCATGCACATTTCCGAAGCATCCACCCCATGTTCGAATCATGACAGAATAATTGAAATTAATTAATATAACCGAAATTAATCATAAGTATAATAAAATTCAAATGCAAATTATGAATGACTACTAACAAAATGAGCAATGATTTGCAAGAGGTTCCAGTGAAAGACTTTGGAAAGGAGAGAAGACTTAATTTTAAAAATAATATAGAGATGGGAAATTATGATAGTAGTAAATAATTATAGAGAAAGTTTTCATTTTGTTCAAGGCCATTATATTGTTGTGGGAGATCTCTTCTAAGATGGAGGTAAAGATTCAGTCTCCAAAAAAGTATGATATATTTATCATATTGGCCTAACTTTGTTTTAATACATCAAACAAACATGTAAGACCAAACAAAAGTATTTGGGTCGAAGGCCACCTTTGGATGTAATCATGTGAAGTTGGGAATGAAGTATCTTTTATTTTTTTTCTTCTGCCTGGTTACGTCTTCTGCTTTATGAAATATAGAAAAACCTATAACGTAGGGCTTCCGAAAAGAATGATATCTACAAGTAGTGGTATTACTTTAGTTTAGTTGTTAATTTTTCTTGCATTGAATGGTATAATATCAAACAAAAGTATTTGGATGAAAGGAAACTTTTGAGTCTTTTATTTATCTAGAAAAATTTGCGGACAAATTCAAAAGACATTTGACTATGTGAATTGAATCCTTCCTATCGTAATTGGACCGATGAAACCTAGTGCTTTATGTCAATAATAAAGAATTATGTGTACCTTTTATATACTTCATTATCAAGTTCTCACGTAATTGTTGTGTGTTAATCAACGCACCTATAGACCAAACACTTTGTTTGGTCCAACGAAAACTTGAGTGAGGATTGTAAAGGGAAGTCATTTACTGTTATGTGAAAATTTTACTTAAACCCCCTCTTGAGTACATTATAAATACCACTAATTTTGTGAAGAGTATATATATTCCCCAAAATTAGCCAACTATATTGAAGAAACTTATTATTTGGTTTATTGTGACAATGCTATTGTGTTTCTTCTTATTTGCTCACTCACCTTACGATTAAATCCTTTCTGCGTAGCATCTAATCAAGTTCTTTTGCATTGCTAATGAGCGATAAGCCCTTCTTAATTTCAAGCAACATCTTCTTGATCCTTCAAAGAGGCTTGCCTCTTGGCCTGATGGTAACACAAATTGCCCTGTGATTGGACATCAGTTATTTGCCATCGTGTAACAAGTCATTTTATTCTTGAACTTCAAACGTCAACTTAAACTCCAACCCAATTCAATTTAGATTAGTTTGGGTTTTCATTAAAATTCCTTTGACTTGATGCAAGGCAAATTCATAATATTAAATATTTCATATACGTAGTGAGGTAACACTTATTGTTATTATCTTGTTAGAGAAAGAAATGTTCTTTCTCTAACTAAAATTGCAATCAAATTTTTAAAATACTGGAAATATTCTCGAGATGTGCTCCAAACACACTAAAGACTTTGTCCATAAGAGATTCAAAACTTTGTGGTCATTTGACACACCACATTGGGATTTTTAAAAATCTTGTTGCACTTGATCTTTCTTACAAATCTATTCATGGTGCAATTTCTAACCTCTTTGAATTATCTTCGTCTATCTGAAAATCAATTTGACAGAAATCCCTTTGATCTTGTACAATCACTTTCTCAATTAGAAGTACTTTCTATCAATTCGAATCTTTTCCATTGAGTTGTTAATGAATATCACCTTGATAATTTCACTAAAATATTAGCATTTGTTGAATTAGAAAACAAACTCATCTTAAAAGTGGGTCCCAATTGGAAGCCTTCTTTTCAAAAGTTGTAAAACTGATACATGAGGTCATGTCATTTAGGTCCCTAGTTTCCATCGTGGATATGATCATTGAAATATCTTGATCAATTGTCCATGCCAAAAAAACATCTCTGATTCCATCCCCATGTGGGTTTAGGATGCATTTCCATGTGCTTCTTGTTTTTTTTTTATTTTCTCTAACAATGATATCTATGGAGAGTTTTCCTATAATTTGAAGGATCCCATCAATGTCTCATGCATTTATCTAGGTGGAAATCACTTGAGCGGTCCTTTAGCACACATATCACCTAATGTGCATTTCATAGACCTCTCAAGTAATCAATTTTCTAGATCCAGCCTCCTTCTTATGCCAAAAAAAGGAAGAGTCAATGGGATTAGAAT